TGGATTTTCTGCTTCAGTCGTGGAGCATTCGAATCTAGGCCAACTTGTCATGTGACCTTGAATGAGAAACATGTAGTGTACACATTCATTCTCAGTGCAGGTTCAGGCCTGGGCAGTGAAGAAACAGCCTGTCTGCCAGAAAGAACTGAGTCAATAAGAGTTACAGCCCATTTATGTAATGGTTAACATTTATTGAGGACTAATCTCTGTGATATGTAGTGGGTATATCTGGACTTCATTAAAATGATTGATACCTCTGAGGACAAGGGAGATAATTATTGATTTAATACTAATCATTAAGACTGTAATGAGAGAGACAGTATTGCATAATGGATAAGAATACAGACTTTAGAGCCTGGTACATGAGTTTATATCCTCTACTACTACCTGGGTGACTTTGGGCCAGTTTCTTAACTACCCTGCATTACCTCATCTATAAAATGTGGGTATTTACTTCATTATGCTATTGTGAGGATTAAATAAGATGATAATCATCAGTAATAGAGAGATGCTTCAGACAATGCTTGGCATGTAGAAAATGGCTTGCAGATATTAGCTGTTATTGTCCTTAAGCTAGTGAGGGATATGCCCAAAGGAAACTGATTAAAAACTGTAATGACTCATGCAGAGCAAGTCATTATTTAGAAATCTCCAATCTTCCCCATCCTACTGTTGCTAAACCATGTTTTGCTACAGTAATACTTGTACTGCTTATTTTTTAGAAGCCCGTTGAAAAAGCCCACTTCTGTTCCCACTCAATATCTTTTTGGGAGCCTGGGACAGATAGACTGGCTGATTTGCTGATTCTGATTTGTTGAATGACATTGGACAAAGTTCCAGACAACTTTCTCACCAAATTTGTAGAGGATAATGGAGGTAAAGCAATGTCAAAAATCATATTTGGAATAAAAAGGTAATAAACCAGTATGATAAATCAAACCTGGAAACAGGTGTAGAATTTTTCAACTTTAAAATGACCTCTAAAAGTCTGTAGTAGGTTGAAATTGATTTTATTTTACATTATTTTTATTTTAAGACTCTTAACAATCACTGAGAATTCATGATTATCTTATGAACAATTGTTTAACTGTTTTACTGGTTTCATTTCTCATCCCTCTTTCTTGTCCCTGTGGCTTCTCTTTTTTACTTGACATGTGGGTACATTCAGTTGGGAGTAGCCTGGGCTATCAGGTAAGAGAAATCCTCTGTCCTCTGTCCAGGGAGCTCAGGTGGCGTAGTCCATGTGAAGTTGGGATGATAACTCAAAGGTGCCTCCTCTATGATGGTTCCAGTCCATCAGCGGCTCTATGACAGAAAGATGGGCAGTTTCTTCGCATGCATTTTACAGCCTCTGAAAACCTGCTGGAGGGTCAGCAAGGAGTCAGTTCTGACTTGATGGCAGTGAGTTGAGTTGTTGTATGTCTAATACCTTGATGCTATTTGGTCATATTAGTTCTTCATTGGCCTTTCTCTTTACATCTGTAGGGTGCCATCAGTAGGCATTTCCCAATTTTTTGGGGGGAGGAGGAAGTTTAAAATACCCTCCCTTTTTTTTAGATGCCTCTTTTTATGTTTTTTTTTTAATTCTTTTTGTGTGTGTGTACCGTCAAATTGGATCTGACCAGTACAGGAGGAGATTGCCCCTCCTTCTCCAGCAGAGTCTCTGGTGGATTCAAACAGCATACTTCTGGGATTGCAGTGCAGTTTCTTGCCAGTAGACCACCAGAGCTCCCTTAAATGCCCCTTTTTAAATAAAATGATACTACTAATAGTTGGGGTTTTTTTTTGTTTGTTTGTTTTACTATCCTCATTTGTCAAAATAGATTACTGATCACCTTATATCAGTACTTCTTAAGGTTCTCATCTTTGAAATCCTGAAGTCTGGTAACAACTGGATACTTTAATGTAGCTGTTCTCTGTGCAAGCCCTAGTCATTTCTGTGGAGATCCCTGGGCAAAGCCTCTTTTGACTTAGGTTGTTTTTTGTTTTTGTTTTTTTTCAGTTGGAGAGAAAATTATATTACCAGCTTCATACACTATGTGTGGTTTTTATGGAATTCTTAAAGTTTTAAATTTTGCTTTCTGAGCCAGACCAGAGGGAAAACTAACTGGCACAAAACTGTCTTCTCCAACCTTTGAATTACTGGTTTTTTTTGTTTTTTTTTACTCCCCTTCTGATCTTTGACAGTCTTCGGTTAAGGGAAGAAGTCTGCAAAGCTTGTTCTAAGCCCCTCAAACCTTAGTGAAATTAGTAAGCCTTTTCTGAATTACCATTTTACTATATGCTAGACTAAGAAGCTGTTGTCTGAAATGAGCAAGGAAACAATGCATGGTTTAAAGTCAGGAAAGATGTTTGCATATCAGGGCTGTATACTTTGTCCATACCTATTCAAACTATATGCTGAACAAATAATTTTACAAGCTGGACTCTATGAAGAAGAGTGTGGTTTCAGGATTAGAGGGAGACTCATCAACAACTTGCCTTATGCAGATAACACAAATTTGCTTACTGAAAATGAATAGGACCTGAAGTGCTTGCTACAGAGAATCAAAGACTACTGCTTTCAATGTGGATTACATTTCAGTATTAAGAAGAAAGAAATCTCACCACTGTTCTGACGTGATAGGTGGATAAAAGACTGAAATTGTCAACAATTTCATCTTGGCTTGGATCCATATTAACATTCTTGGTACCTACCAGTAGTTAGGTGATCAGATGTATAGCACCGGGACAATCTATTCTCAAAGATCTTTCCAAAGTTCTGAAGAGCAGTGATACCAATTTAAAGACAAAGTGGCATTTGATTTAAGCCATAGTTTCCAGTCACCTGCTGTATGTCTGACAGCTGAAAAGTAAATAAGGATGACAAGAGAAAAATCGATGTCTTTGAATTGTGATGTTGGAGAAAAGGACTGAATATCCATTGACTTTCAAAAGAATAAACAGCTATGTGTTGGAGAAAGTGAAACCAGAGCTCCTTGGAGGCGAGGTTGGCAAAGCTCTGCTTAATTTGGATATGTTATGAGGAGGAACTATCCCTTGGAAATGGATATCATGTTTGGAAAGATGAAGGAGAGGAAGACTGTAAATTAGCTAGATAGTGTCTGCAGCAATGGGCTCAAATGTGTTGGAGATGATAAGGATAGTGTAGGTAGGAAAAGAGTAAGATCTGTTTTCCATAGGTTTGCTAGGAGTTGTACTCAACTACATTTAACAACAAGAACAATACCATCTTATTATACCCATGAGTTAAAAAACTATTTGTCACCTCCTAGCACTTTTCTTTCTCACCTAAATTGTCTTGAATCAGGACAATGAGGCTGGGACTACTATCTTTATGTTGTCGTTTTATGTGCCATCGAGTTGCTTGCAACTCGTAACGACTCTCTGTCCAACAGATCTGAACCCTGCTCTATCCTGTGCCACCCTCATTGTCTCTGACACACCTACCCCCATTATCCCTGTCAGTGAGTTAATCCGTCTCATCTAGGGTCTTCCTTTCTTGTGCTATCCCCCCACCCTCCCAAGCATGATGTCCCTCTCCGAAGACTTGTCCCTCTTTCCAACATGCCAAAAGTATGTCAGATGGAGCTTCTGAATCCTTGCCTCCAAGGAACATCCTGGTTTCACCCTCTCCAGGATGAACCTGTTTGTTATCCTAGTCTTCCATGGTATATTCAGTACTCTTCTCCAGCACCAGAACTCAAAGGCATCAGTTCTCCTTCTGTCATCCTTAGTCATTGTCCAGCTTGTAGTTCTCTGGAGAGGTCCCTCATAGCAGATTTTTTCCCAATGCAATTTATCTTTTGATTTCCTGGTTGCTGGTTCCAAGAGTGTGAATGGTGGAGCCAAGCAGGCTGAAGCTGTTAACAATCTCAGTCTTTTAGTCTCTTCACTGTCTTATCATGATGCTGCCAATCAGCCCAGTGGTGAGAATCTTTGTTTTCTTGATGTTGAGCTTCAGTCCACATTGAAGGCTGCAGTTCCTTGACCTTCTGCAGCAAATGCTTCAGATCCTCCTCAATTTTAATAAACAAGGTTGTGTCATCCATATAATGCAGCTTATTGATGAGTCTTCCTCCAATCCTGATGGCACATTCTTCCTCTTAGAAGCCAGCCTCCTTGATGATCTGTGCCACATATAAATTGAAAAGGTGTGGAGATAGGATGCATCCCTGGCATACACCTTTCCTGATTTTGAACCATGCAGTGTTTCCTTGCTCTGTTCTGACAACTGCCTCTTGGTCCAAGTATAAGTTTCACATAAGCCCAATCTAGTGTTCTGGGATACCCATTCTTCTCAGAATTAGCCACAGTTTGTTGTGATCCACACAGTCAAATCCTTTTGCATGGTCAATGAAATGCAGATAGACATTCCTCTCATACTCTCTGCTTTTAGCCAAGATCCATCTAACATTGGCTGTAATATCCCTAGTGCTGCAGTCTTTTCTAAACCAAGCCTGCATATCTGACAATATCTGTTGATATGCTGTTCTAGTTGGTTTTAGATAATTTTCAGCAGGATCTTGCTTGCATGTGATATTAATGATCTTTATATTATTATAATTGAATATTTATATTATACTTTTTTGATAGTTAATTTTTAAATTTTGTAGATGTCAGAGGACTTAAGATCGTTGTTGGTTTTTATTAAATGCAGTCTTCCCTAGTATACACTGACAGATATTTATTTAGGTTTTTTTAATCATCAGAAATGTTTTATTTTAATTTTCCCCCATTGTCCCCTCCTAGCCCTCCCTGCAATGCAATGTACACAATGTGTTGTCATACATATAATGACAGGTATTTATTGAGCATCCCTTGTGTCCTCAGTGCTTATCATGTGAAGAATATATCATGGTAAAAGAAAATGATTGATACAGCTATGAGCACATGCCTTCACTTGTAAGGTTAGAACAAGAATATGAAAGAATGGCTGTCACAATGATTTTTTTCCCCCCCGTCCCTATCTCTTTCTTACATTTGGGCTCAATCTCAAGATGTAGATGAGTGTGAGATTTCTGGCCTGTGCAGACATGGAGGACGATGTGTGAACACTCCTGGGAGCTTTGAATGTTACTGTAGAGATGGCTACTTGCCAGAGAATGGGCCCCAGCCTTTCCAGCCAGCCAGAGACGCCACTTCATGCACAGGTGGGATTGTGACTTTCTGGCTCTGAGCCTCTGCTCATGAGTGTGTATTGAGGACCTGGTGGTGGTTATCTGCACAACCTGTAAGATAAAACAATGACAACATAATCAAGAAAGGAGTGACAAAGTTTTAAAAAAGGCTAAAATGTGTACAATTTCGAGATTTTTGGCAATTATTCTATTAACCATTATGTTGGGTAATAAACATGACTGCTCTAGTTCCAAAGTAACTTTGAAAATTATGAAAGTACATGTATTTTTACATATTTTACAATGAAAACTTTTCACTTCATCTCTTTTGTTAGTATGATTTAGTGAAGGTTGACATGCAATCCTTTTTCACTGCTAAAGAAGTCTTTTATCTCTGTACATGTGTTATCTATAGAAGGCCAGAGATTGAATAGAGACAGTCATTGGAAATGTGCCCAGAAGCCATGTGGAAATGAAACAGCCTACTTAAATATGGTCCTGGGGGGAGTGGGGTAGAGTTGGGGAGAGACTATGCATTTTGAAAATTCACATTTACATCTGACATTACTTTGATAATAATCTCTTTTCAGAAATAGATTGTGGCACCCCTCCTGAAGTCCCAAATGGCTATGTCATCGGCAATTATACATCGAAGATGGGCAGCCAGGTTAATTATATTTGCAAAGAAGGATTTTTCAGTGATTCAGAAGATACAGTTTCAGTCTGCACGGCCTTAGGCACATGGGAGTCCCCAAAATTATATTGCCAAGGTTGGTTTAGGATCTCAATTTATGTAATTTTGAAATTGTTTCCATATTTCTCTCCAAATGACACTTTTGAAATTGTTGTGGTTGTTAGGGGCCATTGAGTCAACTATGACTCACAGTGACTCCATGGACAATGGATCTGAACCCTATCTTATCCTGTGCCATCTTGATCATTTCTGACATACCTGAGTCCAATGTGCCATTCGGTCCCATTGAGGGTCTTCCTTGCCTTTGTGGACCTTCCACTTTTCCAAGCTTGATCACCTTTTCAAGGTTTGGCCCCTTCTCTAACAACATGTCTAAAGTGTGTGAGATGAAGTTTCACTGTCCTTGCCCTGAAGGACCACCCTGACTGAACCCTTTCTGGGACACATTTGTTTGTCTTTCGATAGTCCGTAGACTATTCAATACTCTTCTTCACCACCTCATTTTAAAGGCATCAGTTCTTCTTCTTTCATCTTTATTTGTTGTCCAACTTTCAGCTGCAAAGCAAGTCACTAAAAAGATTATGATGTGGATCAGGTGCACCTTCATCTTCAAACTGATGCCTTTTGTTTTTTATATTTATGTTATTGTGTGCTGTCCCGGCAGAATCAAGTCATAACTGACACTCCAGTGGGGTTTTTAGAGTTTATAAATTAAACAGGAGGAGATTGCTTATCTTTCTCCTATGGAGCAGCTGGTGGATTTGAACTATTTGCCTTTGGGTTTGGCAGCACAACCCCTTACTCATTAGGCCACTAGAGCCCCCTTTATGCTTATATTTAATAATCTTTACTTATAGAAGCTTTAAAAATTACTAGACTAGCATTTTCCAAACAAAAATTTAAATAGCAATCTTGACTTTGCCTATTCTTTTCTTTCTTTAAAGATTTTTTTTTTCTTTCACCCCTCCTGGGTCCTAATACTCATTCTACAGTAACAGTTTTATACAATATTTATCTTTATGGGACTGAATTAGTTCACTCAGCATAATGCTCTCCAGTCCCTCCCAAGTTAGGTAATAATTTACAAAGTTATTGCTCCTATGTGCTGCATAGTATTCCATTGTGTACCATAATTTCTCAATCCATTCATTTGTGGTTGGACATTTGGGCTGTTTCTATGTTCTTGCATTGGTGAATAATGCTGCTATAAACATTAGTGTACACATCTCAGTTTGTGCCTCAGTTCTCATATTCTCAGGCTGTATTCCAAGTAGTGGAATAGCTGGGTCATATGGAATTTCTATGTTCAGCTTTTTGAGGATGCGCCAAACTGCCTTGCAGAATGGTTGCCCCATTTTACAATCCCACCAACAATGTATAAGAGTTCCTTTCTTGCCACATTCTCTCCAGCATCTATTACTTGCTGTCCTGTTAAACTTTTTGTATCAACTCTTTAATCCTTGTTATGTCCTTGTCTATAAGTACTATTACTATCAAATTTTTTGAACTTGGGAGGCATGGTTCACAACATGTTCAAATGGATCAGCTATTCTGTTGGGGAAATATGGGTGGATCTCCTCTTGTTAGGATTTACAGCCTTGGAAATGTGACGGAGGGGAACTGTGATTCAGAACTGAATTGATGGCACTAGGTTTTCCTGAGCTATCTGAGCAAGGCACAGGGAGCTCACATGATTAATTTGCCCAGAGTCACAAAAAGAACTAAAATTTCAACCTACGAAGTCCAACTTCAGAAACAGTGCTCTGAAATATTCTTTTTTATTGTTTCTTTTTTTATGGTGATATTGGCTTTTGGTTTTGCTTTTTGGTTTCTTGACTTTCTATCTTAAACCATTCTCATTTTATTGGAATTTTTTAAAAATAAGAAAATAATTACTTTTACCATATACTTTAAGCATGAATTAAGTTGATCATGTTTCCCCTCCCCCTTTCCTCTCGTAATATGAATGTTGTGAAGTGCCGTCGAGTCAGGTAAGACTCTTAAAGACCCTGTGAACAGCAGATCTGAACCCTGTCCAATCCAGTACCATCCTGATTGTCTCTGATACACTTGATCTCATTACAGCAGCCACTGTGTCAATCCATCTCATTGAGGGTCTTCCTCTCTTTCGCTGACCCTCCATCTTTCCAAGAGAGATGTCATTTTTGAATGAGTAGCCTCTCCTAACAACATTCCCAAAGTAAGTGAGACTAAGCTTCACTGTCCTTGCCTCTAAGGAGCACTTTGGCTGCACTTTCTCTAAGACATATGTGTTTGTTCTTTGGAAGTCTATGGGACAGTCAGTATTCTTCTCCAACACCACAACTTAAAGGTACCAATCTTTCTTCTATCATTTTTATTCATTGTCCAGCTCAAATGTATAGCAGGTGATTGCAAAGAAGTCAAAAGACTTAGGAAGGAACTGCTTGAAATCTGCTCATTTGCTTGTTCTTTTGGTTTGTTATTATGGGTATAACATTTATCTGCCAATTTGATGTGTGGGAGGAATGACTTGTGTGGTGCTACTTTTTTTATAGTTTTTGTGTGCATATACTTGCTTGTTCATTGTTTACTCTGTGAGCACAGTGACTTCTCTGTCACTTGCTGTACTGGGGTGGCTTCCTGGGTATTGTGATGCTGGAGGCTGTGCAACCAGTATTTTAATACTAGCAGATCATTCATGGTGGCCAGGTTCCCGGGGAGTCTTTAGAATGAGACAGTCTGGGAATAAAGACTGGCCATCCAACTGACAGTCTGGGAATAAAGACTGGCCATCCAACTGACAGAACCAGCTTTTGAAAACCCTGTTAACAACAGAGGAACACTGTTAGACATAATGCTAGAGGCAGAGTCCTCAAAGTGAAAGATACTCAAAATGAGAAACAGCTGCAAACATTCATTAATAATTGCAACATGGAAAAAAATAATTGCAACATGGAACGTGTGAACTAGGAATGTAGGAAAACTAGAAGTTGTAAAAAATGAAGTAGAATGTATAAAGATAGACATTCTAGGCATTAGTGAGCTGGAATGGACTGGCATTGGGTTAGGGTTAGGGTTAGGGTTAGGGTTAGGGTTAGGGTTAGGGTTAGGGTCTGAGTCAGACAATCAATCATATGATCTACTTACTATTCTGGAAATGAAAAATTGAAGAATGCTGCTTTCATAGTTAGAAAGGTCATTGCAGGATCTGTTTTGAGGTACAATGCTGATAGATAGTGAGTGAGAGACTATTATCTATACATGTACAAAGACCTGTTAATATTATATATTTGCATAAATAATTATTCAGGTTGGACAATTTGAGTATTATTCAAATATATTAAACAACAGCTAAAGCCAAAGATAAGGAAATTGAGGAATTCTATCAACTTTTGTGGTCTGAAATTGACCAAACATGCAGTATTGGTGTATTAATTAGAACTATTACCTGGGATACAAAAGTTGGAAAGTAATATGGTAGTTAAATTATTAGATTTCTTCCTAGTGATTATTTCTAATTCATGGAATTATTTCTTCTATTTGGCATTTTACTTTTAAAATCTAGATTTTATTTGATAAATTTTATTAAAAATTCTTACATTAATATTCCTAAATATACAAACAGAGAGAGAGCTTTGTGGGCTTGGTGGATAGAAAGTTATGCTACCAAGTCAAAGGTGGGTGACTTTAATCTACGGCCCTCAGACCTTTTGATTGTTTTTGGTCAAACATTCTTCTAAGTGGCATAGCACTGGTCTGTCCATTTGCTTTACAGAGAAGTAACTTGTGGTTGCTGTGATGCTGACCACTGTGACACTGATGCATCAAATGTGATAATGGTTACTTATGGTGGACAGTGTTTGGAGGAGTGCTCCAATTAAAACAAGGTTGGAAGCAGGAGTGGCATCCACTTCCAAAATAGCTTGCTTCCAGAAACCCTATGAACTTGTAGAAATGATGAAAGTCATACAGTTGTTTCAGGTCTTTCGTTCATGAAGTCACTGTGAGTCACCTATGACTCGATAGCACTTAGCAACAACATAACATTTGGTATTTTACTTTTAAAATCTGGATTTTGTTTGCTAACTTTTATTAAATATTCTTACATTAATATTTCTAAATGAGACTTTTCTATTTTCTTTTTTATGTGATCTTTGTCAAGTTTGGTGGTTTTATTTTTTAAAGAATTCATTTTGGTCTTATTATCTATAATAATGTAAGTACAATTTTAAAATTTTGGTGAAATTTCACCTAGTAAACTTCTGGATGTGGCACTTTGGGGGAAGTTGTCCTTGTAATTTTTTTTTTCCATTTTTCTCTATGCTGATTGGTTTTACTTTTCTATCCCATTTGAAATAAATTTTAATAATATATATTCCTAGTAAATCATCTTTTTCACCTGGCTTTTCAGATTTACTTGCTGATAGTTAAGTATTTACACTTAAAATTTTCTATAGTTACAATTTATAGTAGTGAAATATTAGAAATAACTATGAGTTTTGTTAAAGAAATAATACATATAAATAACATGGACTAGGGAGGATAGAAGGAGAATTGACGCCTTTGAGCTATGGTGCTGGAGAAGAGTATTGAATGTACCATGGACTGCCAAGAAAACAAATAGATTCATCCTAGAGAGGGTTAAAACAGGCTGCTCCTTGGAGGCAAGGATTCTGGGGCTTCGCCTGACATACTTTGGACATGTTGTAAGGAGAGACAGGTCTTTAGAGAGGGACATCATGCTGGGCAGAGTGGAGGGACAGCGCAAGAGGGGAAGACCCTCTATGAGGTGGGTTGATTCAGTGACTGGGGTAATCGGGATGGGTGTGTCAGAGGCAATGAGATTGGTACAGCATAGAGCAGGGTTTAGGGCTGTTGTACATAGGGTCGCTGTGCGTCGCAAACGACTCGACGGCACATAACAACAACAACAACATTATATACCCAATAAATGTTATACTAGGGAATAATATTTATTGACATAGGTAAGTATTAACAATATGTTACTAAGCTACAAACTTTGAATAACTGGACATTATTTATGGAACAAAAAAAATTTCATATATATGGATATTCTTGGGAAAAAGTCCTGAA